GGGCATGTGGTGCATACCTGTAATTCCAGCTACTTCAGCTACTTGGGAGGCTGAGGCATGAGAATCACCTGAACCCAGGAGGCAGAGGTTACACTCCAGCCTGGGCAATAGAGTGAGACTCTCTCTCAAAAAAAAAAAAAAAAAAAAAAAGTCCCTCATCAATTGCTAGAATACCGTGGATAGTAAGCACAGACGATTCTTTTGGTTGACCCCCTCCCAGCATCCATTTTCTCTTTCTTCCTCCCTAACAGATTTTCTACCTTGTATCCACTCCTCTCCCAAGCAGCCTTGTGTTTTGGGAAAGCCAACCACATCCTCAGGCCAAGGCATAGGTCTGGTTGGCTAAGAATAATTCCACTCATCTCCCACGCAGCCTTGTGTTTTGGGGAAGCCAACCACATCCTCAGGCCAAGGCACAGGTCTGGTTGGCTAAGAATAATTCCACTCATCTTTACCAGTAACTAATTTAGGAAAGGGAATGTAACCCAGTTTTGGTCAATGAAATGCAAGGTTAAGTTTGCTGAAGGCTTCTGGAAAAGTCCTTTGTCACTCTTAAAAAGAAAACAGCTGTGTGAAGCCAGCATCTGTGTCTCCTTCCTTCCCCTCAGGAAATATCAATACAAATATAACTATGTTGCATATATTTAAACTAGAAAATTAAGAGTATTTTACTATTTCTTTCAAATAGTAATCAGATGATTAAAAAGTCAACAGAAGTTCTAAAACCATGATCACCTAACATTTACTAGGTAACATGTATGACAAAACAGCTTTCTTGCCTTTGCTCTCAAAGGGAGAGTTCTGGTAAAACTCAGAGACAACTGGGTATGTATAAAAGAGAGAAAAATTCCAAAAGAGTACTGATCTTGAGAGATAAGAATAAATGGCAGATGGCAAACTGGTCAAAACATGTGGCTATAGAAGGTAGAATAGTTTTGCTTGCATCCTAAATTCAATCAAATAAATAGTACTCATTTTTTTTTGAACATGTGAAAGCAAAATGTTAACCGTGATAAATGAAACTACCCTAACAATTGAGCATTTTTGAAATTCTGAATTTTTCCTCATTCAGGTTTAGGGCAATTTTGATGACAGATTTAAATGCTTTAAACTTTAAAAGCAAAACAGCCTGCAAGATGACAAATCAGACCCTAATCATGACAACATGGGGGGGATGGTGCCAAAGACAAAGGCCAATTTCTCCTTAGAGTAAACTGCCTCAAAACCTAAAACGGTATCACCTCTTGATCTCCAGATCCACAAAGCAGCAAAAAGAAAAGGCCCCAAAGAGCTAAATTTGGGCCTAGCACAGTTAGCGATATAGCGATACAGTACCCTCTATTGGTCTAACTGTATCACTGCTACCCTTTAAAATTTTCTAGAGCAGGCAGGAATAAGAAGCATCCCTCAAGTAGCTCTTTTGAGCCCGAAGCAGAAAATCTAGTCACAGGAACACATGTAATTTGTAAGACATGACTCAGATATGTTTGATTCCATATGCCCAACATGACCCTTGCTTCACCATAGGAAAAACTGAGTATTTCTGTACTTAAACTCTTTCTGAGAATAGCAAGGCAAGAGGCAGGCATAGGAGAAAGGGCCCAAAATTTGAAGTCAGAAAACCAAGGTTCAAATTCCAGCTAATTCCACTTTCTAGATGGTCAAATCCATCTGCATTTCTGTTTCTCGTGTATTAAATGGAAATAATACCTCTCTCTAGGTTATCATGAGATAATGCACATAAAAATACCTTGCACATAATAGGTACTCAATAACACCGGATTAAATATTTATCTAATGTATCACAAAAAGTTACAAAATGATCAAAATTATAGGTTGTGCAAAAAGAACTGTAGGATTCTCTTTGTTGATGTTCTTGTTTTTAATCCACAAGAAGGAACTTTAGGCTTTTCAAGCAAAAATTAAGCAACTTACTGGAGAAGACCAAAGGACTAGGAGTCAGAAGTCCTGGATCTCTATTTTGATACTAACCAGTTAAATGACCTTGGGCAGGTCAATTTGAATCTCAATTTCCTCTCCTGTAAAATAGAAGGACTGAATTAACTTGAAACTCTATGCTTTTTAACAATATCACACAATTAGCAACAGAAATGAATCTAGAATCCAGACCTAGTTCAGTACTACATCAAAATATCTGTAAGTTATCTCACTAAAGAGAAAGTCTTTGGTGAACACGTTGATGGCAGATCAGGAAAATGGGTGGAAGGAAAGGTTTCACACTGGGACTGAAAAGAGATGAATAAAGGTGATGAGCTTGATTTACAAAGTAACAGATACAAAATGGCAGAGCACAAAAACTAAGGAGAGGCAAGTTACAGACAAAAAGGAGTGGGAATTGAAGATAACCTCAGCTATGACTTTCAGAACTGAATTAGAAGAAAATATAAAGAGAAAACTATTAATAAACAAATCCAAATGGAAGGAGACCAAGACTTTCGCCACAGGGCAGACAGAAAGGGGGAAATAAAAGTCATTTTCAGGAAGTGGCAAAATTTACCAGCCAATTAACCCAATAAATGGACAGCAATAAGCTAAGTCAATTTTTAAAGTTTAACGTATTAAAGAACTACAGACATGGGAAATATGGTTTGAATAATAAGGACAACTCAATGCACTAACAGTTTGTTTTTGTTTTTTAAGAAACAGGTCTCCTTATGTTGTCCAGACTGGTCTAGAATCCCCAGGCTCAAGAGATACTTCCAAGTAGCTGGGACTAAAGGCACAGGTCACTGCACCCAGCTGCGATGTACTAACAGTTTCAATCAGAACCACGAAACCATCTCCAAGAGCTCTGTTTTTCAAACTGAAGGTACTAAGTGATCTGTCAGTGAGCTGTGACAAATTTTTTAACGTAATGAAAATGTCAGAGTAATGCCACGCAGTAAAACTAAACACTGTTCTACATGGAACATCTGTCTCAGTTTGTGTGTATAAACACGTATGTGTGTGTTGGGTTGAAACAAAATGTATTTCTTGCTCTGGCTCATGGTTAAGAGGTCTCAAAGACCGGGTGAGGTAGCGCATGCCTATTAATTCCATCACTTCGGGAGGCCAAGGCTGGAGGATCGCTTGAATCCAGGAGTTTGAGACCACCTGGGGCAACACAGCAAGACCTCATCTCTACAAAAAATTTTAAAAATTAGCCAGGCATGGTGGCACACCTGTGGTCCCAGCTACTCAAGAAGCTGAGGTGGGTGGATCAATTGAGCCCAGGAGGTTGAGGCTGCAGGAAGCTGTGATCACAACACTGCACTCCAGGGTGGGCAACAGAGAAAGACCCTATCTCAAAAACAAAAGTCCCCAAAACTTTGTATAATGGAAGTTTTCAAATATACCTGAAGTACAGAGTCCCCATATACCTATCATCTTGCCTCAACAACTTCTGATCATCTTTTTTCTTGAGTGTTATTTGAACTACCTTTACAGACAGAAAGTGAAAACTATAAAGAAGTGTTGATAGCAGAGGAGCTATCAAATTTCCTTAAACCTTTCATGTGCAATAAAAAATAAGTAAAATTTAGATTAAGCTTTCTATATTTTCCCCAAAGATATTTTTTATGTAAAGGACAAGATTAAAACTTTAGTATTCAGCCAGGCGCGGTGGTTCACGCCTGTAATCCCAGCATTTTAGGAGGCCAAGTCAGGCAGATCACCTGAGGTTGGGAGTTTGAAACCAGTCTGACCAACATGGAGAAACCCCACCTCTACTAAAAATACAAAATTAGACGGGTGTGGTGGCATATGCCTATAATCCCAGCTACTTGGGAGGCTGAGGCAGGAGAATCGCTTGAACCCGGGAGGCAGAGGTTGCGGTGAGTCGAGATCCCACCATTGCACCCCAGCCTGGGCAACAAGAGCAAAACTCCGTCTCAAAAAAAAAACTTTAGTACTCAATATGATCTCACAAATGACAAGATGTGAAATACAAATTTCAGACCTTGTTTGTTCTAAAATGTTCACAAATAAAAAGAAATTATGTCTATTATTTTTGTTTCTACCAATTATTAAAAATGCAGATTAAAAATTTTAAATGATTAAAAATGTAGTCTTAAAATCATGAACAAGTTATCTAGCTTCCTTTCATCATGAATAAACTGAAAAGTTCATAGAAATGACAACATCAGACTGACAGATACAAGCAACATGATCAAACAAATTAAAACTTTATAAACAATTTTAAGCTCTTAAATTACTAGATAATAAATGGATTTTTCTAGCATCATATAGTTAATTAGAAAATATTTTTACAATGGAAAAGCATCTACTCAAAAGCATAAGATCAGTTTACTTCCTATTTATTTGTGCCACTAACTCACCCACCATCTCACTGTTAACACTACACAATCAAAGGGAGAAATGAGTTTTGTAAATCAGATATATCACGCTAATTTTTGTTAAGCCAGTTTTTTTTAACTACAAACAACGAATCCTATTAACTTCACAATGCTGTTTTAAAAAGTGAATATTTTTCCTATCCTAATCTAGTGCCTTAAAGAATTTGAAGAGCTTTCGAATGTCATTTTTTAAACTTTTTATTTTATGGAAATTTAAGAACATAAAGAACAGAGAATATTATTGTGAACCCCCACATACCCATCATCTAACTTCAACAATTTCTGAATGTCATTTTTTTCTAAAAGCCATTTTTATTTAACAATTTTTACTGAAAGATTTTTTAAAGCAATACTGAAAAATATTTACATTTAAGTACAACTCACAGTCTATTAAAGTGTTCTAGTCAGTGATTACCTTGATGAGAAAAAAACGCTTTTATAAATATTTTTGCATTTAATACAAATCAATTTACTGAAAAAGTTTTAAGAGAAAAGAATTAACCTGAATGTAATCCAATTTCAGAGCTCAAATAATCCTACTTTCTAATTAAATCAAACAGCAAAGCTGATGAAAATTAATAAATACAAAATTAACACAAAATTTTAAGACAATGAAAAACATATTTTAAAATGTAAAACTCTCACCTGCTGCTGTAACATAAGACATTCTGAAACTGTACATTACGTAGGAAAATGAAGCCTTCAGGTTACTTCTCTGGTATACCTGGGATATTCAGGCTTTCATAGACTTGTGGTTCCTTTTCACACGATTTTTTTTTTTTTTTTTTTTTTT